GGGAGCGGTGTGTGTGGGGAGGAGGGGAGCTGTGTGCGTGGGGAGCTGTGTGCGTGTGGAGGGAGCTGTGTGTGTGTGGAGGGAGCTGTGTGTGTGTGGAGGGAGCTGTGTGTGTGTGGAGGGAGCTGTGTGTGTGTGGAGGGAGCTGTGTGTGTGTGGAGGGAGCTGTGTGTGTGTGGAGGGAGCTGCTCTGCATCTTGTACCTGCTGTGCTTCGGGCAGCACCCTTTTGAAGACGGAGCAAAGCTTCGCATCGTAAACGGGAAATACTCCATCCCTGCTGACGACACTCGGTACTCCGTGTTCCACGGCCTCATCCGTAAGTGCCGTGCGCAGGGACCACGGAGGACACGCCTCCTGTAACGTCCCGCGTGGCCCTTTGGCAGCCTCCCCGTGGGCTTTTTCCATCAGTCACCCGTGTGAGTTACGTGCTCCAAACGGTGGCTTTTGATCATTTTGCTCCGTTCTGTTGTTGCTCTTCATGCTGTGCCCTCGCTTTTAAAGTCTGTACGCAAGGCCCTCGTGGGTCCTGGGTCCGTCACCTCCACAAGGGCAGGGGGTGGGGCCCTGAGCTCGCCCTTCCTGCTGCAGGTGCCACACTGAAGGTCAACCCGGAGGAGCGGCTGTCCATCACCGAGCTGGTGAACCAGCTGCAGGAGATCGCGGCTGCCCGGAGTGTGAACCCCAAGTCGCCCATCACTGAGGTAGGGCCTTCCAGGTGCTGCTCGGAGCAGGGTCTTAGAGGCCCCATCTGCGTTAAAGGGGTGACCATTGTGCAGGCCGAGCCCCCATGCCCTAGGGACCCCAGGGCGGGGTCACCTGGCAGGAGGGAGTCGGCACAGGCAGACGGCTCTGAGTGTGGGCAGGAGCTAGAAGGAAGACGGCCCTGTCAGACAGCGGCCAGCGCGGGGAGGGTGGGCAGTGGGGGCATGGGGGGTGGATGAGGCTCGAGGCGTCTGCTCTGGGGCTGCCACGTGTGTGCCGCCAGGAGTTCTCGGGGACGCAGTGGGGGTGCCGACGGACAGACACAGGACGCTGGTCAGTGGCGCCAGAGCACCTTTCGGTCTTGGTGCTTTCCGAACTCAGGACCCTGGTGCAGACACTACCCCCTGCGGGCGCTTCTGCCCAGGCAGTGGGGGCCGGGCCTGGAGCCCAGGAGCAGCCGATGGAGGACTGGCCGGCCTCACGCAGGCAAGAGCAGCGGTGTCTGTGTGCCCTCGGCAACAGGGCCTCCGACTGAGGGGCCTGGCGTGTGCGGTCCCAGCGGGAGGTGTGCCTGCCTGGCAGCCTGAAACCTGCTGGAGAGACAGGGCGGGAGAAAGCCTGGCTGTCCCTCCGCCATGCTGCCTGGGAAATAGCGCGTCCTGAATGCCCACCACCTGCTCGGCCAGAGAAAGGCAACGGCACCTTCGTTTTACCTCGTGAGCTTCATGTTGAGAAACCTGAGCTCCATGACAAGGATGTTCACAAGAGCTGCACCAGAGACTAAGGCCCACGGCTGAGGAACGCACAGGAGAGGAGCAGGCACCACGGCCGTCGAGGACCATGCAGGGTCGCGTCCGGCGCCGAGTGGGCTGGCGGGAAGCTGCAGCCTCCCCAGCCGGGCCCCCAGCACCTCTCTGAAGGTTGGGGGTCACGACTCTGGCCAGCGCCGGCCGTGGGCTCAACTTGTGGCAGGCAGGGCCGCTGCGCAGCCACCCCTCTGGCAGGCAGGCTGTGAGCCACCGGGCGAGAGACTGGCCGCAGTGGGCGTGTGGGAGCGGGCAGGCTGCCCGTGACCCGAGCATCGGCTCGCAGCGCTGTGTGAGCCGCCCTTGGTGCAGGGTTCTCCAGGGTCAGGCGGAGGGGCTGCAGCCAGGAGGGAGGGTTTCTCCCTGCGCAGCGCCGGCGGACTGCGGCTCTGGCCCTGTGCAAGCTGAGGCCTTGCTGTTCGAACCCTTGCAGCTCCTGGAGCAGAATGGAGGCTACGGGAATGCTGCCCCGTCCCGAGGGCCACCTCCTCCCGGGGGGCCTGTGAGCAGTGGCCAAGGCGGAGGTGAGTGCACACGTGCAGAGCGCCGGCCCACACCTTGCCTCGGGCAGTTGGCCTGGCCGTGTGAGGGGCTGCTGGTTCGGGTCCCCGAACTGCCTAGAGCTCCCAGGACGGGCGGAGGCGACACTCTAGGCCACGTTGAGGACGGAACTCGGGGGGCGGTGTGTGTGCTAGCGCCCTGTCCTGTGCTGCAGGGGCTCTGAGCACCCTGGCGCCTGGCGTGCGGGGCCTTTGGGGTGGCCTGCAGGGGTCAGGGGCGCAGGTCCGAGTCCCCTGGGGAGAGGCGGGCTCCTTGGGCAGGAGAGAGGGTTGTGGCCATGGCAGAGGTGGCTCAGTGGGTTTCCTCCTGGCTCGGTTGCATTTGGTGAGTGAGCTGCACCCTCATCTCGTGGTTGTGGGTGGTCTGGGTGCCCCGTGCTGGCACGCGGAGCTGGTCCCCGAGGAGCCCTCAGCCGGGCTCGGTGCAGCAGGCCCGGGAAGGCTCTGGACGGCCCTGCCAGGCTGTGCTCTGCTCCATGCCCCATCCCCTTGGCCACTCTCGCTGTTTGGGGTGGAATCAGGTTTGTTTCCTGGGGAGGGGCCTCCCAGCAGCTGGCTGGCCCTGGGTACTGGCTCCATGTCCACACAGTGTGGGTCCTGGTCGCCTCTCTGGATGTCCAGCATGTGGGGCCGCCCCGACTGCCCTGGGTCTTCTCCAGGACCACACCACACACGTGCACGCATGTGCTCGTACATGCTTACACCACGCTCGTGCCCACACATGCTCAACACACACGAGTGCTGGTCATTTCCTGGTGAATGGCCAGCAAGAATGTTCTACACGTAGGACGTGTAGGCTGCTTTCTGTGGCTGCCTGACAGCGGGAGTGCAGGGCCCGGTCCCAGCTGTGCCCCAGCCACCTGTGCCAGTGCTGCTGGCTGGTCTCAGAAGCTGCACAGAGGCCACAGACACCCTCGGGCACAGATGCAGCGTGCGGGCCAAGACTTACTCTTTTTACCCCAACCTAACCCCCCGCAAGCCGCCTTTGGGGACCACATCCTCCGGGGTGCTAGGGTTTCAGGACCTGCCTCCCTTTGCCATCACTCTGTTCACACCCGGGCCCTACGCTGCAGGCAGATAGTAGCACCCGCTGTCCAGCCCCACGGCCTCTCTGTGCTCGGCCGGGGCCACATGCACGACCCCACTCCTTGCCCTCCGTGTCCACTGTGTCCTCCCACCTGGGGTGGAGGCTCGCTTTTGCTGGGCCCTCAGCGTGCGTGTGTGCAGGGGCCCGGGGTCCAGGTTGCAGGAGTGAATGGGTGCACAATCTAGAGACGGGATGGAGGCCGTGGGCACCAGGAGGCTCGACTCTCGCCGGCCAGGTTCAGGCTCGGCCCTTGTGAGAGCAGCTGGTGGGCTGTGGGCGCAGGGCATGCTGAGATGCCAGCTGCTGGTTTAGTGTCTGTGCCCACATGGGGTGCAGACGGTGGGGTGACGGGGAGTGCGGCCCTCGGGTTCTGGGGATGCTGGGGCTCCCGGCCCTATCCCCCCGGCCTGAGCTGGTCTCTGCTTGCAGGCCTGGCGGTGGCTGAGTACGAGCAGTCCTACGGCGGGCTCCTGGACATCCTGCGGGGGGGCCCCGGGCGCCTGCTCACCAACCTCAAGGACACTTCCTCCAAGGTCATCCAGTCCGTCGCCAAGTGAGTCGAGGGTGCGTGGGTGCAGGGCCGGGCGTGGCTCCTGGCTTCTCCATGACCTTTGGCGCTGCCTGCCTCCCAGCCTGGCAGAACCTGCACTCGTGGCCATCAGGGTGGGCCCCGCCGTGAGGGACTTGGGAGTAGCGGAGAAGTGCTGGCCCGCTGCCGGCCACACGGGCCCTGGAGAAGAGGGGGCACCACCTCCGGCCTGGACTGTGGAGTGCGGGTGCAGTGGGCGCGGCGCCTTGCCAGTGTAGATGTGAGAGCGCTCAGGCTCGGCCGTGGGCTTAGATTTTTATATTCCACTTTGTGAAAAGACAGAATAGCAGTTTTTCCTTGTCAGTTACTTGTCTTTTTCTTTTTGGTTTTAATTAAAGCACAAATCTATCCATACTTCCCTTTATGTCTTTTGTTTGTTTTCCTGAGTAGGAAGGTTAGGTGTGTTTTGAAATACATGTTTCAGAATGTTTAAACTAAATGCATTTTTAATGGTTTCCTTGCACATTCGGGTCTTTAATCTACGGGGACCTTATTGGGGACTTTTCATTGGTTCTCATCTGCTGATGGCAAGCAGGGCACTGTCCCCGTCCGTGACCCAGGCCCCCCCCTCCCCCCCCACCCGTTCCCTGAGCTTCCCCCTCCCGTCGTGCCTGACGACCCACAGCCCTCGGCGCGGCTGCTGCTGCTGCTGTCTGTGGTGCGTGCCTCTCTGTCCGTCCGTCCTTCCCAGGAGAGTCATGTTCCTGCTCAGCTGTGTCTGCAGAGGAATTCTAGAGCAAACTTGTCAGGCTGCCTGTGTGCTTCCCTAGCTCCGTGTTTTACTCGTTTGACGATCAGACTAGGGCCATGGCCTCAGTGGTGCTGACGCTGGGCTCCAGCAGGGACGCCTCCCCAGGCCTGCGGGCGCCCTTCCTCCCTCCCAGGTGCCCCTGAAGCCAGGGAACCACCTCCCTGCTAGCCTGCCCTGCCTGGCTGAGTCCAGTGAGAACCATAAAATTAGACCTAAGTAAGTGGAGAAACTTATATTTGGGAGAATTTTAAAAATGGTATCACTTTTCAATTAAGCTATAAATTCATTGTCATAAAAATTGTTTTCATAGCTTTTTTAAGAATATATTTTTATTTATTTCAGAGAGGAAGGGAGAGGGAGAGAGAGAAACATCCATGAAGAGAGAGAATCATGGATCTGCTGCCTCTTGCACGCCCCACACTGGGGATCAAGCCCACAACCGGACATGTGCCCTGACCGGAATCAAACTGTGACCTCCTGGCTCATAGGTTGACACTCAACCGCTGAGCCACACTGGCCAGGCTGTTTTCATAGATTTTGATCTTAAAATTCATGTTACCCATTACTGCCAGGAGTATTTTAAAAAATGAGAATAACAGAGGATGATCCCTGTTACACGCGTGAGCTTTCTCGGGCGTCAGTGTGGTGAGTTGAGTGCTGAGACTGACAGATGGCGTGCTGAGGCCTGGGAACCCACGAAACACCGTCTGCCAGGAAGCCCCGGCCTCGTCAGCGCAGGTGCCAGCCCTGCCTGCTGAGAGGAAGTCGGATCCCTGTCCAGCAGCAGCGAATACATTATTCTGGCCGGTTAAGCGATTAATTCTAAGAAGCATGTGTTTTTTAAGGAAAAATTAATAAACTATAGAGGGTTATTTTTATAACACTGGAAGGTTTCCTAAATGAGACAAAAAATACACAAGCCGCCCTAACCGGTTTGGCTCAGTGGATAGAGCATCAGCCTGCGGACTCAAGGGTCCCAGGTTCGATTCCGGTCAAGGGCATGTACCTTGGTTGTGGGCACATCCCCAGGAGGGGGTGTGCAGGAGGCAGCTGATCGATGTTTCTCTCTCATCGATGTTTCTAACTCTCTATCCCTCTCCCTTCCTCTCTGTAAAAAAATCAATAAAATATATTTTAAAAAAAATACACCAGTGATGGAGGAAATGATTAATAAATTTCACTAACTTAGAAATTCTCTATTCCTCAAATTACCGCATTTCCTTAAAATAACAAAAAGACAATATGTTCAAACTATATAGCGTACAGAGGAGTTACCCAGGCATTCTGAGTAACCTCGAGAAGGCGTCCGCGCTGTTGCTGTGCTGATGACCACTGGTGCTCGGAGATGGTTGGTGCGGGGTCTCTGCCTGTCACTGGGCGTGGAGACCGCCGGCTCGGAGATGGTTGGTGCGGGGTCTCTGCCTATCACCGGGCGTGGAGACCGCCGGCTCGGAGATGGTTGGTGCGGGGTCTCTGCCTATCACCGGGCGTGGAGACCGCCGGCTCGGAGATGGTTGGTGCGGGGTCTCTGCCTATCACCGGGCGTGGAGACCGCCGGCTCGGAGATGGTTGGTGCGGGGTCTCTGCCTATCACCGGGCGTGGAGACCGCCGGCTCGGAGATGGTTGGTGCGGGGTCTCTGCCTATCACCGGGCGTGGAGACCGCCGGCTCGGAGATGGTTGGTGCGGGGTCTCTGCCTATCACCGGGCGTGGAGACCGCCGGCTCGGAGATGGTTGGTGCGGGGTCTCTGCCTATCACCGGGCGTGGAGACCGCCGGCTCGGAGATGGTTGGTGCGGGGTCTCTGCCTATCACCGGGCGTGGAGACCGCCGGCTCGGAGATGGTTGGTGCGGGGTCTCTGCCTATCACCGGGCGTGGAGACCGCCGGCTCGGAGATGGTTGGTGCGGGGTCTCTGCCTATCACCGGGCGTGGAGACCGCCGGCTCGGAGATGGTTGGTGCGGGGTCTCTGCCTATCACCGGGCGTGGAGACCGCCGGCTCGGAGATGGTTGGTGCGGGGTCTCTGCCTATCACCGGGCGTGGAGACCGCCGGCTCGGAGATGGTTGGTGCGGGGTCTCTGCCTATCACCGGGCGTGGAGACCGCCGGCTCGGAGATGGTTGGTGCGGGGTCTCTGCCTATCACCGGGCGTGGAGACCGCCGGCTCGGAGATGGTTGGTGCGGGGTCTCTGCCTATCACCGGGCGTGGAGACCGCCGGCTCGGAGATGGTTGGTGCGGGGTCTCTGCCTGTCACTGGGCGTGGAGACCGCCGGCTCGGAGATGGGTGGAGCTGCGTGCCAGCATCTGCCCCATCTGTTGCTGCTTCCCCCTCACCGCTCTGTTCTTTGTCCCGGTCTTTATCTTCACTCTTCTTCTGCCTTTTGTGGTTTGAACTGAGTATTTTATTTGGTTCCACGCTCGCCCTTCTTGGCATGTGTTGCACTTGTTTACCTTCTCGTGGTTGCTCTGTGGGGGGGCGGCGTGCACTCAGAGCTAACACAGTCCCCCCAGCAGCTGCGGCCGTGGGGCTCGGAGGCTCGATGCCAGTGACCCCTCCCCCGTCGTCATGGCATTCGTCGCTGACGTGGAAGCACACGGTCCACGCACATGCACATACACGCGCACACAGTGGGTGCTGAGCACACAGACACTCTGTTGCCACTAATATTTTGAACAGACTCACTTATTAGATAGTTAAGATTAACAAAAACAAAGGTATTCGCTCTGCCTTCACCTACTCCTTTTTGATGCTCTTCTGTTCTTCATGTGGCTCTGAGCTCCTGGCCCATATGATTTCCTTTCTCTTTAGAAAACTTAACATTTCTTGCAAAACAGAACTGCCGGCAACAAGCTCCTTCAGTTTTTGAGAAAAAAAATGTTAATGTTTGGAGGATGGCTTCCCAGGCACAGCTGGTGTGCTTTCCTTCCAACTCTAGTTTCTCCACGCTCCTTGCGCAGGCGGATTCTGAGGAGAAAGAGGTCTGTGTCCTTGTCCTGTTCAGTAGATGAGGCGTGTGCCCCACCGGCTTCTCTCGGGACCTCTCACCTCTCATTTCTGCAGGCGGTACCCTGTGCCCAGGCACGTTTCCTGGCGTTTATCCCGGTGGGGGTTCTCCGAGTTTCCTGGATTCGTGGTTTGGTGTCTGACGTGAATTTGGGGAAATTCTCCGTCGTCATTGTCTCAGATATTTCTTTTCCTTCTCGTGTCCCCTGCTGTGAGCGTCAGGCCTCCTGTGGTTGTCCCACAGCCAGGGAGCCCCGTCTGGCATTTGCCGTCTTTGTTCCCCTGGCTTTTTTGACGTGGAGGGTCCTGTGGCTCGGAGACGCTTGCTCAGCCGTGCCCGGCCAGGGAGCCCAGCGCTGTCCTCGTGCTCCGCAGCGCTGTCTCGCGCCCCTCCTGGGCGGGCGGCTCTTCCTAGGGCTTCCCCTCCGCCCACACTGTCTCTGTGCTTGCTGTCTGCTTTGTCCATTAGCTCATTGGTCACTGCTGCTTTAGGCTCCTGGCTGTCATGCCGGCATCCCCCCAGGTCTGATGCTGATGCTGGCTGTGTCCCTTCAGACTGGGCCTTTGCCTTTGGGGTGCCCTGTGGTTTTCCTTGGTGGGTCAGAGGCTCGGTCGCCCATGTTTGCTGCCTCTTGTCACAGCCAGCTCCCCGTCACATTTCCCAGGGGAGCAAGCCCCGAGTCACGGCCTGTGTGGGTTCCTGCCTCTCCCCCGCCTCTCACACACACATGCCTGCGCTCACACGCAGTGACCCACATACATCCACGTGAGCACACACACAGGCTCACCCAGGGCCGCTCCAGGACTCGCTCTCTCTCAGCTGTCGTCATTTCCCTGGAAGTTCCCTGTCCTAACCAAGTGTTCTTTCGGGTTCCAGTTACGCGAAGGGAGACCTGGACATTTCCTACATCACATCCCGAATCGCAGGTGCGTTGACCGCTCTCACCATGGGGCTCCTCTGGCCTCCTGTCGGCGATGGCAGGGGACGCGGGCCTCCCACTCAGCCCGCTGCAGCCTGGGCGTGAAGGGCCGGTGGCGGGGAAGGGCCTGGTGTCAGGGCACCTCCGGGCCCGCAGTGGACAGTGCGTGTGCAGCAGCTTCTCCCCGGGTGGACTTTCGGGGCTCTGCAGCAGAGGAATGAGCAAGGCCACGCACAGTTGAAACGCGGGTCTCCAGGCCAAATCAAAACCAAAGACGAGATCGGACGCTTGGAGACCCTGCTGTGCGTGGGGTCTCGGCAGGACCTACCGCCCAGGTGCACTGTGGGGAGGTCCCGAGGGGCTCCTGTGGATGGCAGGCGGGCTGCACCTCAGCACTGTGTTTGACGGCACCAGCCGGGAGCCGGGAGGCGGGAGGGGGAGGCTGGAGGCGGG